AAAATAAAACTTCAACATCCTGTATCTTGGAAACGAAGCGTTTCCGGACATTTATTTATTTGGACAATTCATATTAGAATATTGTGAGTAGTCACCTCCTGAAGTTTGTCAAAGTACTTTTGAATCACCCTGTATATAATTCACATAATATTTTCAATGATTAGTTGCCTAAAGATTGTATTATGATTTTTCCCCTACTGGTGATGTATGAATTTCGTTAGGAATGTTTCGATTCTGGACATGAACTTCAAATTTTTTTGCTCGTTCATTAAGCGATTTCGAGAAAACCGAAAGTAACATTTTCATTTGTCACCTAATATTCAAATCCAAACCAAACCAACTCACTTCAATTCAAATACGGGTAATACGGTGGCAACCGTACAACGTTGTGATTTAATAATAATAAGAATAATATTTATTTTCCCACAAGACATATAAAATGTATAGGAATGATACATATACAGGGCTATTCAAATTCGTTTCTGTACATGGGGATCTCGTAAACGATAAGAGATAGAGTGTCGGTTAAATTGTGCCAAAGTTGCGTATTTAAGAGATCTATTCAATGATGTAAAAAAATCGAATATAGCTCTTTTGGTTCTGGAGATATACAGGAAAAAACAAAAAAATCCCAAATAATTTTTTTGCCTATATCTTCTTCATTCACAGACATATTGAAAATCTGTCCACATTTTGCTATTGGCACTTGATATGGGCTTTCAGAATATGTCCATGAATTTTTTATACAGGGAGTCATCTGACTTGGGCCACCCCCATCTTTGAACTTTTAAATACGGACCTGTATTTTTTGTTGTAATTTTTGTATCGTCGGCGTTCACTTCATACTGAGAAATTAAATTAAATTTCATATTTTGAGATGTTTGGGTAATATTTGATTATAATTGTGTGAATTATTCCCTTATGAAGTACGGACCTGGAAGTTGGTTGACTGAGTTGAATAAAAACATAATAGCAACTTTNTTTCATACTTTTAGGTAAATGATTGTAAATAGACAAACCCATAATTGTAGGTGCATTGTCAGAGACCTTATATTTTGTGAATGGAATGTGGAATTTTTTCTTTGGCGTGTATTTGATGCTAGGAAGATCTGATCTAGTTCATGAAGGCATAAAATTGAGGTTTCTGCATGTTTTTTCCAAATAGATTATTTCTCTCTGGTCCAACTCTCTCCTAATGCTCAAATAAGCTGGCGTTCCATGAATATTTTCCTGTTATTTTTCATATTTCTCCATCGAAATCCAAGTTTAATGAATTTTTTTGCAAAGACTCCCTGCTAACCTGAGGATCAATATTTCACATGATACTTTCATTAATTTCTCTAAGCGTAGGAAATCGGTAACAATCACAATTTTGTAATTTTTGATACATCTCTTCTTTGCTGCTGAAAATGTTTTTTCTCACCATTTGCATTTTTCTTTCATTTATGATTTGACTTTCCTTACAATCCGCACGCAAACCCCTGTTTCCTCACCTACTCGTTCTTGAACTCTTATAGTTAAAATACAATATTGGTTACAATTTTATTTTTTCAAAAACTACACCTCAACGATTTGATCTCCACAAACTTTATTTGAAAAATATATCACAACATGGTTCGCTAAGACATTAGCTAGTCAAGTGATAATCACTTGAAAAAGCTAATGTCTTAGCGAAACATGTTGTGATATATTTTTCAAATGAAGTTTATGGAGATCAAATCGTTGAGGTGTAGTTTTTGGAATTACTATAGATCTTCATCAAGTAACGGCCGAATCAATCAGGAAAAAAAACAAGTTTATTTACTATTATTATTATTATGTCTTACCTTCTCAATCTTAATATGTTGTTCACGATTTCTCTGCTTTGTCCACTGAGAACTTTCTTTTTTATCGTTCGAAGGCATTTCAAAGACAGCAAATAACTCACAATTCACCACACAGAATAATTTCTCCACTCCCTACTAACACGATGTTCACTACACGAGTTCCTCGATGTTGAAAAGCTCTCGCCGACTGATCTACTGCACATATAGTATTCAGAGGCACTGACAGATTTGCCAAACTCTACTCGTCTGGTACTTATTCGTGATGACGTGTAGGTATACGAGATGGGTCAGGAAGATCTGAGTTGTTATAGAATGTAACTTTTGAATTAGGTTCCAACAATTGAGGTAAGATTAATTTAATAAGAATAAATAATGTATATTTCGGGCTCCATTATGAGACATATTTTAATAATTTAGAATAGTGCAGACCGTGCCAAAAAAAAACGTTTTACTTGTATTGAGGCTAGAAGATACACCAAATTTTGCATTAAGTTGTCACAATAGAAATCGATAGAAGTGCAAATGTGGCGTATGAACGCTGTTATTGTCTTATCATCTTTGCTAGTGGGGATATTTTCAAAATGGAAACAGCACAAAAACTCATTTCAAGTTAAACACGAACAGGCAATGGAACAGAAAATTGCTTTGACCATAATTATCATCTGAAAACTCGCATAGACGTCTCACTGAATCTCAGATTGTCGTTTCATTTATACTGTAATAAAAAGTAATAATTTTGAGTCTATTTTCAGGGCCCACTCAAGCGGAACAAACTGATCGTTTTAAAATGTAACAGTGTTGAAACATATCCAACTAGAATATTGCAGTATTTGCCTGAGAAGATTACAACTATATGATGGGATATACAATATGTATGTAATAGGTATGTTATGTGGTAATATAACAAATACGACCAAAGATGATCACGAGCAAAACAGCTGAAATTAATTTATTGTTATTTTCTTATTAAATGTCCTATTTTAGAATGGTATTGAGAACTGAACATTAGATTCAGATATTTTTTATATATGTAGGAGTATTATTTAGCTCAGAGTTCCTAGCTTTATTAGTATTTTCAATCTTCAAATCATATCTAAATGTAAAACTAGACATAAATTGTGAAAGATGACAATTATCACATGACCAATTTTTATAATTTTTTTTTCAAGCAAATGTATATACAAGTTGAATTTGAAGTATACCAAAGGGCTTTTATACTCTTGTTAATGACATTTCTTCAATATGAATATCATATGTTTGTAATTTAGTTAATTATAAATTGGTTTGTGAGTATATATTCTTTACAAACCGAATGTTACATCCATTGATGTAAATCAAGAAATGATGGTCTGAAATAGGAGGAGTTACATAGTTAGCAATTTACACAAGTTATTGTTTGATTTTTAAGCGTTACAGACCTTAAGTTTGTGATATGTACTTAGGAGAAGGTCCAGTATTAATATGGTATATTGTTTTTTTCTTTAATATGGCTTTCGTACTTTTTTACTTTTACTTGTTTGACAATAATAAACAGTTAGCTGAGAAAAACTATTGTTTTCAAATAAAATATAAAACTTTGAGTTTAAATTGCTTTATTTGAGGGTAGTGATAAAAAAAATATAGATCATATTTTTATTTAGTATCATTTCCTTCTTCAAGTGAAGGAGGAAAAAAAGACACTCAATCAGTTGCGAAAACAACCATCTATGTATTGAAAAAATATTGAAATTCTGTAAAACGATAGTATACGTCTTCAATCGGTCTCGAAATCTAAGAAGTTGCCGAAGACTTATGTTTGTATAGCTACGAACGAGTGAACCATTCGTTGCTGAGACTTCAAAATACGACGTGACTCACGGTCGATGGTAGGTTAGACGTTTCTGGAAAAAGCAAAGCATGATTTTTCTGAAAATTTCACCTCTCACATTTCCTTACCTGTTCTATCGATCTAAAATATTTTCAGCATTGCGGCGTTGCCACTTCCATCAAAAAGTCCTNTAGAACATGGTTCACAAAAGTAATTTGGATTTCGATGCAGAATTCATAAATGATATAATATATAGGGTGTTCCATTTGAAATTTCCAATTTGATGTCTGTTACATGTAGATGTGGTAACATTGCGGTTATGAAAATATTTTCAAACGATATAGATCACAACCATTTACATCAGCAACCAAAATTTAAAACTCTCATCTTTTTTTCTTCTCTAGATACGTCTAATAGACCATCGAATATAGAATACCCTGTATATTATATCATAAATTATTGAGTCACTATCGTAGTATTGGGTTTTCACTATTAGTGAATTTCAAAAATGGAAGTAATTCTTCATTATAAGGTTCTTTCGACCGTAGTAGTAGTACCCACATCGTTTCATTATCGTAAGTTTTCCAACTTATATCAGATGATCAAATTGATGACGCATGTGTCATGTGTATTCTTTCATTTTCCTAACTGTAGAATATTGAATTTTTAGGTAACAATGAGGGTAGTAAAAAACATTTGATTAAAAAGTTACAAGAGAACAAGGAAAAGATAAAAAAGCACATGATAACAAGAGTTACAAACCTATTCGTCGACAATGAAGGACCGTAATTTAAAAAATCCAATAATAATAACGACCTACATGTTTGCATCCTTACAGTTTATATTGTGTAGCGAACTCATAAATGTTTCATAGCTTTCTAAGATCATTCGATCTGACGGCAGAAAGTATGGGGCATTCAAATAAAATGTGATGTGAGTATGATAAACATGCATATTGCACACAAAGCAAATTTCTCTGAAATGTAGTATATATACCTTTGAAAGCTAGTCCTAAACTATGTTTATATGTTAAGCGAATTTGAGCAACTAAGTACCTATTCGAATGTTGTGAATAGGCGTTTGAAAAGTGAGAAAAGTTTTTGATGACCGGTCTCTTGAATAGTTTAGGTGAAAAAAGAGAAAAACCTGGAATTGGGGTGCCTATCAGAATCTTCATCGAGGCATTTTGTCTCGTATTTTGTAATTATTTCACTTTTTTCAGCTGCTAGTACACGGTTGATAGAGGTAAGGAAAAAATCTCACAGAATTAATTCCTACCAATGTCGATGTTTCAAACTTTCTCAGTCATGCTCAGATAATTTTTTGGTGTTCATACGCTTCGTTCCCATATCTCCTGTGTGTTTTGTAGAAATATAATTTCTAAACAAATCCAATACAAGATACAAAACCTATTTTTGTGAAATGTTATCATATTTTTATTTTTAAATGTATCTGACGACAAAACATCGGTTCAAACTCCACCTTGTATGGTTTGAAAAGTGGCAATGAGAAAATGTTTTTTATTTCTCAACATCTTCCTAAATAATAATAATAATAAACAGCTTTATTTCAGGGTAGATTACAAACTTTTATTGCAAAAGGTCGGTAACATAGAATGAAATGGCGTCAAACAAGAAGGTACAGATTTATTGTTATAAATATTTTTAAATGAATGTTCCAGTGAGATATGCGTTCAAATCATAGGGCTCTAAGTCTATAATAAGTTTTTTTAGTTCTCTTTTGAAAACTCCAATTTTCTTAGTTAGTTTTAATCTGTTAGGAAGATGGTTGAAAAGCTTGATTGACATATAGTGGGCGCTTTTTTCAGTTACTGTTAGTCTATGAAGGGGATATATATATATATTAATGTGTTCTAGTGGGATACTTATGAGCAGGTAGGTGTGAATTTTTATAAATGAACATTAGGCATTCATAGATATAAATCGCGTATCATTATATTGGTGGATTTGAATACTGTTCTGCAAGTTTGGTTATAATTTAAGTTGTTATTCCTCTTATTATTCTTTTTTGAACTATGAAGATTTTTTCGATATTTCGATTGCTATCCCAAAAAATAATTCCGTATAGAGCAACCGATTCGAAGTTAGCCGTGTATATTGTTTTTATAGCCTCGTTTTGCAGATATTTTGATGTAACTCTAATTCCGTACGATATTCCACTCAGTTTGTTTGCGAGGTTATCAATATGAGAAGTCCAATTCATGTTCTCGTCTATGTGGATTCCTAAAAATTTGGTGTTGTGGGACAGTTCAAAAGAAGAGTTTTGGAGGTCCACCCTAACTGGATAATCAATGTTGTCTTAGTTTGTTCTAAACAAAATCATATGTCTCTTCGATTAATTTAGTACAAGTTGATTTTTATAGAATCAGTCCTTAGTTTTGTTGAATAGATCTGTACTATTCAACATCATCTCTGTGAAGGTTTCACCACCTGATAACAGACTTATGTCATCTGCGAAGATAGTTTTGAACTGACGTTGGTTTAGGTTTAGATTACATAAGTCGTTCAAATAAATGACGAACAGAAGAGGGCCGGCAATGCTCCCCTGCGGAATTCCCACGTCTGTGGGAAGGGTTTCGGATTTATAGACTCTTCCATTTCGTTTTATTTCTACAGATTGAAGGCGATCTGATAGGTAGGATTCAACCCACTTTAGCGCTGAACCTCTTATTTCATATCTTTCTAATGTCATTAACATTAGTTGATGATTCAAGCAGTCATATGCTTTGGATAAATCCAAAAACATCCCGAGAGCTATCAATTTTTCTTCCAACATGTTCGTTATATTTTGTGTGAATTGATATATGGCCGTTTGTGTTGATCTACCCTGTAAGTATCCATGTTGAAGCCTACTACATAAGTTACATTGATTCATAAACTCTATAATTCTCACTGACATTGCTAGTTCGAATAATTTTGAAAAACTGGGAGAGATGCATATTGGTCGGTAATTTTCTAGGCTCTCTGGATCACCTTCTTTAAAGATTGGCTTCACAATGGAGGTTTTTAATCCTGTTGGGAATATGCCATACTTCAGTGAATTATTCATGATATATGCTATGATTTCGTTAATGGCAATTAGACTTTTTTTCATAATACTAGCAGGAATTTCATCTTCTCCACTGGAATGTTTATCTTTTAGTTTTCTAGATAGTTCTATTATTTCTTCTGGGGTTATGGGTCTCACGAACATCGACTGCATATTTACAGGGATATCACAGTGAAATGGAATATTTGAGGCATTTGCTAGTAATTGAGGTACCATGTCTACCAAATATTTATTGTAATCAATAATTATTGCGTTTGGGTCACCATTTATGCAACACTCTTCATTTCGAACTCTTCCCGTTATTTCAGAGCAAATGCTCCACATGCATTTTGATTTATTATCAAAATGGGTAAGTCTCTTTGAGTATGTGTCCTTCTTCGCGTTAATTAATAAATTGTTGTATTCGCTTCTCACCTTATTGTACAATAAAATGAAAAAAATTGGCGGATTTCGGTTCTTTTCAAATACTTCTGGAACAAATCGGAATGTCCTTGATTTTGAATTATCATTTAAAATAATTCTGAAATGGACAACTTTTTCCTGATTCAACCGACTCTGGATCTTTGAAAACAGATTTCCACCGAGACTATTTTCGTTTTCAAATGAAAAACAAACAAGAAACCAAAAACTTGTTTTAGTTTCGACAACAAATTCGAAACTTGAATTGCACCAAACAGATAAAAACTAGTCTGAGTCGCGTGTTTTGTAGTGGAATGTTTTCTGTCCTTTCCACTACTCGATTACATGAACAGTTTGCATCATACCTTCTCCAGACGATTTCTATATAACGGCCTGCTTTTTTTATAATCGAATCTTCTGAGCGAAAAGAGCAAAAAACTGATGAAATCAAGAGATTGATCGAGATCATTGTTGAGAAGACGAAGAGATCATGGAACGGATAAAACGGAACGGAACATTCCGTTGTTGACAACAACATTGAAATAAATAACGATATAAAAATGATAAAATATACCAAATCAGCATGGATTCATGTCCAAAATATAAAAGATGCCCCGGGAGGTCTAACCTGGGGCCACTCTTGTTCTCAATTTTCATTAATGACATTTCGGTAAGGATTACATGCCCCCATTTACTTTTCGCAGACGATAAAAGTTATTCAGTAATTAAGTCCATATACGGCTGCTATCATTTACAGAACTCGCCTAATGAAGTTCAAATCTGGTGAAGTGAAAACAGACTTCAACTCAATGTAGGTAGATGCAAAGTATCGTCTTTCAACAGAAAACTTCATCCAATAATTTTCGAATATTCTATAAATAATACGATTCTCGAAAAACAGTGTCAAATTTAAAGATTTAGGGGTCGTGTTTGATCATAGGCTTACATTTGATACTCATATAACTCATATTGTATCGTCGCCGTTAAAGCTATTGGGATATTTCTCCAGAAAGTGGGGAAACTTTTCTAATGTTAATACGCTAAAATTATTGTATGTTACTTTCATAAGAAGTAAGGTAGATTATGCATCTTTAATTTGGTTTTCATTATATCAAAGTTCCGTTCAGCGGTTAGAATCTGTTCAGCGTAAATGCTTGAAATTCATGTTTTTTAAGTGCAATGGATTCTATCCAGCTTGGGGCACAAACCAGAATATTGTATTTTCTCTATTTGTGGGTGAAAACCTGTTGGGAATAAACATATTATTAGGATTATTATTATAAAACTATTCTAATTTTGACAACTCAAGTATTGTTTCAGAAAAGAAGCAATACACTCTGCATTTCGGATGCTAATATAGTTGTATATATCAAAACAATCAATTCACATGTCACATGTATGTAACAGCATCATTTTCGAGCTAACGAGGGCCTACAATATGAAATGAAAAATATGTTCTCGTATATAATCAATTTTATTCCACATCGACTATTAAAAAATATAATCAATCTGCCAAATAAAACACATGAAATATATATAACAACTTATATGGATTTCATATGGGTAATCCTATTGGATACACAAGTATTATGAATTATGGAAAAAAATCCATACCCCATAAATACTGAATCAGTTTAAGTAATAAGTTCAGTCAAATCACATCCTTGTGATGAAACATGCAATCCAACAGGAACCCCATAATACGAAAATAGAATAGATTTTGACAATCAAAAAAACTAAAATTGGTGGTGACTGACGTGTAACCCAAGAAAAATGGGTAAGATTTCACAAAGCAGCTATCAAAAAGGAATGATGTAGTTTTTTTTTTTATAAAATGAAATAAAATGGCAATGAAATCATTGTATGCAACGCCATTCTGTTGTTTGTGGGGTAGGAAACTTTAAATTCTGAACGAAAGTATAGTTCATGAGAGCCCAAAATTTCCAATGGTAAAACAATTGAAAACCTTTCCGTCCACAAATCTGGTACGCGGATGCCACGTGCTATCGCAGTTTATGTGACAGTTTAGACAAAAATGTAAAGTGAGGGTCTCCTTTATTCACGTCGGTATTCAGGCCGGAGTGGTTCAGATAACCACGTAAAGGGGGCCATATATGTGAATTTAAAAATTCGTAGGTTCGAAAAGTTGAATTGTTTTCATCGTTAAAAAGAAGTTCGACAAAAAAAGGATGGCACCTATGCTTCGAGCAAGACCGCTTCCCACCCCCCTCCCCCCCAACAAAGTTCCTGTCATCTTTGATAGGAGGAGCCTGGACAAATGCGCCCGAACGGGAAGCAACGTCCAACAAAATTAGAGAGAGAGAGGTAGATCACGTTGAAAATGATTTTTTCTTGAATTTTTTTTGTTTCTCACTACAATATCAACAATAATTCCGTAGATGACGTCATTGTGTAACTTTTTTGAGAAGGATTTCCATTGAACCGTGTGAAAAACACACAGGGTTCTACTTAAAATTATCGTTGAACAGGATTATGTGTTTAATTGCTTCAATGAACTATACCTCCGTTCCGAATTTTCAATTTCTTACTACACAAACAACCGTTACCACCCGGTATGTAAAAATAGAAAGTAACTTCTAGTAATCACAGTATTCAATTTCACTTCAAGTGAAATGCGCAAAAAATTCTAACTCATTCACCTTGAACGTGGTTATGATGAAGTACTTCAAAATTACTCTACTCAAAAGAAAATGTTACTGTCTGAATAAAATTTTCTCAGGAGCTCATCAATATTGCGGATTTGAAAAGAAACAAGAGTAGAAACATTACTAGATCAATAACAGTTATGATCCAAGAATGAACATGTATATATTCTGATATTCTAGAAACATCTAATGATGAGAAAATGAATATTTCGAAATATAATCTTGACATATTCATCTCTCACAACTACCTACACTGTAGGTTCTGGTAAATGCCTGCCTGCTCTATCTCGTGAACAAAGTACCAAGCAGGAAAGAAACATCCCATATATCAGTTCTCTGACAGAAATATTTCATTTTCTCATATGGTATGTATCTCTCCACAATATAGTATTCAAACTTATTTTGACATCTAATAGTCAGAAATTGTAAACATTCATTGTTGAGACAATGTTTCAATAGTAATAATGAAGAAGAATAATTACTTTTGGCAAAAATCCGCAAATCTTGTCAAAATAAAAAAATATTGACCATAACAAATTTTAATTCTATCATTTATTTTTCTGTTTCCTCATTTGAAATGTTCTAGTCACTGCAAAACTACATTTTACTGCCACACACATATTAGTGAAGTTTCAAGAAATAGTAACAAAAAGAAATCAAAAGCAGTCTGAAGATTGTCGTGATACATATATATAGTGAGAAAATATATATTTTTAAATGAACATTCAAATAATTCACCTCTTCCAAAGTTCCTATGCAATAGGATATGAAAAATGCTTTTTTTCTCTAAGGAAACTTGCATAAATGTCTGCCAAATAAAATCCAATAATTTGGGAACAGATTATTACTAAATATAGATATTTAGGTAATTTTGTAAAGATAATCAGTGACTTTCAGAATAAGGTGTCTCAAATATCAGTCAAGACGTATATACAATATACAACTAATGAAAAAATTTACGAAAATGGGCAGAAAACCAATTTTGACCTTGAACGAGATTTGTGATGAAGTACTTCAAAATGATTGGACTGAAAATAAAACGGGATTAACAAGAATACTTTTCTCAAAGGCACATCAATATATCATACACTTGAACAGCCAAACACTTTTAAGCAATATATCACCAGATTAATAGCAGTTACAAGCCAACTTTAATTAAGTAGAATACATATTTATAACTGGCGTTCTTCTAAAAACACCTAGTGTCAAATTTTACTATAGAATATTGAATATATAACGTCGTCAAATCAACCTGATATTATTTGAAAAAGACAGGTCAAGGTTGACGAAACTTCAAAAATAAAATTTGAAATAACAACAAAAACACAATATTAAAATACACTCTAAATGAGGCTATATTGGTCACTGAATTGCCATAAAAGTAAATCGTTGAGGTAATATTTTTCCAAGTATAACTATATCAAAACTGGAAATTCAACGAATCATATCAAGACATTATTGAATGTTTTGAGTATTATATAAACATCAAGAAATTCTTATTTGAGTCACTTGATCAAAAACAATTATATCCATGAAGTACTTAAGTTAGATCTTCAAATAATGAAAAAAGCCAATCCTGTTACTGAAAGTGTAAAGAAAAATGTTCAATCGTAGAGAAACTTTTTTTAGCAACCTTTCGAAATGTCCAGTTTCGACATGAGTTGTTTTTCAAAAATGATTTTTAGAGTAAATATTTTCCACAAAATATAACAGTTTTTGTATGTTAAAGAAGTTAACATAATATACAAGTATCATAGTCTTTTCTGCTTGAATATTCCCATGGATATTCTCAAAAAAAGCAAAACTAGCGACATAACAATATTTGTTCATGATTCTCACCCCAAACCAATCTTTGTAAATAATTTTTACTTACAACTACAAGTACTCTACCCGTTTAAAATATATACCAACATAATAATATACCTAGCGTTTGGAAAATTAATGTACAAATTTCTCAGTCAAAGATTTTTCTGACTTTGAATTTGTATTCGAAAAACACTTTATTGTGAGATTTTCACTAAACAGTGTCTTCAGACACCCTGAAGAAGCTATTGTATAGCGAAACACGTGTTGCATTTTTGTAAAACTGCTAAGTAAAAATCTCACCAATAAAGTGTTTCTTGAATCTTCCAAGCTACCTATTCTTTAACTATTTTCATCATTTCTTCTAGAAATATGTATTTTGCTAATTGTACTACATTTCTCATATCTGACTATAGTTCATTTGGCATCTGCAAGCTATAATGACCGAAAGAAACACTTCAAATCACTTTTTTCATTATGGAATTTTTATTTTTATTTCCACCTATTTAGATTGAGAAATCACAGGTCTCTGCAAAATTCGATTCCAAGATTCGAATATAATTGGAATTATAAAATTTACATTGCTGTTCCTATGGTTTCACCAAACGAACTGGTTATTATCGAAACTCATTTTTTTTGTCGTTGATCAACATATTTTTGATAAATGAGTAGTGGAGAATGGTGATAGTTGGCATAAAAGGCTTGCCAAGAAGTCACTGCTCCTATTTTCTGAATTTTGACTACTGTTATTTTGCTACAAGTGAGTACATGTAAAGCTGCAACATCCATTGTAACTACGTCACGAAGGAAGGCTACTGGATCTGATAGAACAATACATTAAAAACCTTTCTAACATAGAAAAGTGACTCGAACGGTGTCTTTCATTACATTTCTCATATTCAATACTATTTCAAAATACTACTGAATATAACTTACTAACTTGCAACATAAATTTCATTATAAAATAGCAAATGGACGTCTTGAAATATCATATTTGCAAACTCTTATTTTACACAAACTCTATAGTTGAAAATTAATTCAACGGGATTTTTCACTTTTGATCAAAACAATTATCATTATCAATAACAATAGAAATCATTATGGAATATCTAAAACAGGTGACAACAAACATCGGTAAAATTTTGAATAGGCTGCACCAGTCGATTTTGAAAAAACTATGTACTCAAGTATTTTGAAGTGTAGGTTGAGAATCCGGAATAAAAATCGGTGCTCTCTCTCATTTCCAGTGTTACAGCCCCGCAAACTTTCGAGAATTTTAACTCTTCAGCCTTCTTTTGGCACAACACAAACTATACAAAAACACAAGTNGCACACACAGGTTTATGAAAATACACTGAACAAACTGGAGTATCATTTTTTGGAAATCAATTCCAAGCAAATTTTTAGCCAATATATCCCTACAGTTCTTACCAAGCAACATCTCCCAGATTTGTCACCAAAAAACTATTGATGAACAGAAACGTTTAACTAAGCATCAATCATGAATTAAGTACAACTTCTCTACTTAATCAAGAAAGGGTTGCTCATGCCCAATACGCTGGAAACTTTGTCTTCCGTTTGACTGAAGTAAACTAGGCAGAAAACGCCTCGGACATGATTTGGTACTTCAGGGAATATAACTTTAAACCTGGTTGGTTTGGATAAATCCCCGTGAGCATCTGTAGATTTACCACTGGCTTCGATGGGACTGGTACACTTGTTTACGTACTCGTAGGTTATGTAATCGTCGAGAGCATCGAAGTTATCCTGAAAAGCCATGAACAGATTCATTCATTATCGAAATTTCATATGTTATGTGGTATTCGAAACAATAAAATTGAAGTCAAACTTGTGCTCCAATTGAAAATAGTGTATACTCAATGCCGTCTAACTGATTTTTTTTTTCGGTTCATTTCGGAACATTCATATTCATGTTTTAATCTGGTGTTTCAAATTTGTTTTGTTTGTTCTATATGGCATATAATAGTCGGAACAAGGTATTCGAAAACAAATTTAGCTTGGACCCTTATTTTACAGAGGTAGTACAAAATGTATCAAATTAGTCAACAAAAGAACAGATATAAATTCTTAAAAATCAAATATCAATGTAATAAAAACGATGAGTTTTCATTTTAACAGATTCTGATAAACTAAATTTTAGGTTTCAAGTTAACAGAATTTATTCCTGAAATGCCAACAGACTGGAGAGAGGAGGTTGAACCTCAACATTCTTTCTAGAGTGCCGAAGAGTCCCATGCTTTTTCGGTTATGCCACAACAGAATATGCATGACATAAAACAGTGTAAAACCATTCATTCGCAATGTTGAAAGTTCATAAGATATATACAGTGCATTTCTTTATTGTCCCCCCCTTTTGTTTATTGAACGAGACAACTCAAAAAATTGAAATTTGGGATATTGAAATTAACGCATGAATACTTTATTTTGCAGTAAAATTGACAGATGAAAATTTCCAGATGGCGACTGGACGCCAACTGGGAAAAAAAATTTAATGGAAAGGAGGGTTTTGTAACACATTTCTCTGAAGCTCCTGACAAATGCTTAACAATCCTAGAATATAATGTCAATATCTTCAACTACTATAAAATGGCGGCCAATGGCTGGCCATTCTGTAGGACCTCGACGGCCAATCCAACGACCGGGAAAACTCCAACGACCGGGAAAAGTAGTATCCAAATAGTTTCTTACTTGTCTGGATTAATGTGGTGGTGCTCCATCTTGTTGGAATACAACATCCATATCGAATTAATTCCAGCATATTCATATTCAGATACAGTTCCCGTTGATTTTTTATCAATAAATAGAGGTCCTACAATATGGTTTCCCAATATTCCTGCCCAAACTTTAATTTTTTCCGGATATTGGGTATGTCTATCCCGGAAAACGTGAGGGTTGGTGTCACTCCAATAACGGCAATTTTGTCTGAAAATTGCCGTTTAAAAAATGTACATTTGTCACTAAAACAAATATTCTGGAGATAGGTAGGATGCCTTGCAATGGTTTCCGTCATGATTCCACAGGATTCTGTTCTTTTATCAGGGTCATCTTCAGTTAATTGGTGTACCATTTCAATTTTGTATGGATGATACCTATTCCTCTTCAAAAGTCTCTACACAGTAGAAGGAGACACCTCACAAAACATTCATAGGGGAATAAGTAGAGTATTCAGGATTTACTACCATCTCACCAATTTTATTTGCACTTGCGGTTCTTCCGGAAATATTTTCTACAGGTACGACGATTCGGAAAACGTTCATTGAAAATCCTTTCGGTCTCGTGAAAGTTCATTGACATACTCAAGATGCTTGGAAGTTTTCCCTACCATATATTTTTTGATAATTTTTTTACAACGGTCCCACTCTTGGATCAACTGCAAAAAGACAATGTAAGAGCTACAGGAACTATCCGGGAAAACAGGATGTCAAAGTGTCCAATATTATCAAAAAACGAAATTAAGAAAAAGAAGAGAGGAGAATATGATTTTAGATCTACTCAGAACAAAGTAGTTATTGTCAAATGCATAACAATGCAGTAAATGTTGCTTCCAATACTTTATCGGTGGAGCCATTACACCAAGTATCACGGTTTTCCCAAAAAGATAAGAAAAGGATCACTGTAGATCAGCGACACCCGTTATATATTTATAATAAGTTCATGGGAGGAGTAGATCGTTGCGACAAGAATGTAAGCCTCTACAGAACGTTAGTAAGAGGTAAAAAATGGTATTTTTGTCTAATTGCATATGGTCTAGACATTTGCGAACAGAACGCATGGCAACTCCATAGACTACAAGAAGGTTCACTTGACAATCTATCGACTAGACGACAAATTACTTTGACGCTCTTGGAAACCAATCGATGTGCGAAAAAAAGGAGAAGACCTTTCGCGATGGAGAATGTTGAATCAAGATTAGATAACCAAGATCACTTTCTTATATCCCAACCCAAACAGACTCAATGTCGTGTATGTCACAAAAAAATTCAGAAAAGATGTGAAAAATGTGACGTGGATTTGCATATGGAGTGTTTTGTGAGCTATCATAGGTCTGAAAATTAGTTTGCTAATCAGTTACTTTAGAATTAGTATTTAGGTTTCTTATATAACACTACTACCTATATGCCGATTATCCTTTTTTAAGGACACCCTAAAAGACAGATTGTAAACACTAAAAAATAAACGAAATGTGTTTTTCTTGACTTAAGGAAGGTAAATTGTTAACATTAAAGCAGTAATGTTGAAAAAAACAAAAAAAAATATTCAGGCACATCTGAGTTGAAGAAATACTCTGTATGTATGTTAATAGTTTTTATATGTATATATGTATACTTATTTACATGTTTATATGTACATGTATTATCTTATTATATTCTCTAAATATGTATGCATAGTTCAAATTTCAACAAATATTTTTTATTGTAACCACATTGGATAATTAGTTAGGTATATCAAGTGTAAATTGACGTGTCCGACGATATCTTGTAATTGGTCTATTGAACCAATACATTTTTGGTTGTTGCTTGTATGTTATTTCTTTGTAATTTCAGTTTTTTGTTTAATAAAATCGTTATTTTCAGTTAATCTTATTAATTTTTTTCAGGGATTTCAAATCAATTTTAATAATATTAGACAATGGAAGTCCGAACTGATGAAATACACCACGAAACATTGTCAACCACCTTCAAATCTTTGGCATATTTGGTACATATGTNAAAAAACTTACTGACCTTGAACAACCCAATCCAATCATCTGTGGTCTCGGGAACGTCTTTGGTAACCGTGTAGTAAACATAGTTATCAATATCTGCATCCCATCTTCCGATTTCATCGAACTCGATAACGCATTCAGAATAATCTGAAAATACCTGATCAACAGACAGAGGTAATGAGGCTTCCTTCATAATCTTTTGGACCTGCTGTGGAATCTGAACAACATAATAGTCGAGGGTTACTTTAAGAGTAGCATTTAGAAGTGATAAGCGAAATTGATGCTCAGTATTGATATGGACAGATGAAATTTTAGTGAGATGATAATGCAAGATTGAATTGACAATGGTTTGTATATTTCCACAGAATTTACAGATTCACTTTTCAATAATGAAAGTATATTTCCACTGTGATAACCAGTTAGTATATTATATTGTACAATGGAGTCAGATTCAATACAATTCAATACATTCTTAGTCAGTGGGCTATGCTTGAAGATTGACAGTAAACAAATCTAAAGAAATGAACTTTAAACGTTCAAGTCAGTCTCGAATATACCTACACAGTAGGGGTGGAAGGCTTCTTGGTGTC